AGATTTCTGAAGAAAATTTAGAAATTTTATTGAATTTAATGTAGCATCATCAGAATACTACCCCAATTTACAGATGTAATAGACAAAATAATGGATGAATAGGGAGGTATATTTTTTAATTTTAACTAAAAATGAGTTAATATTTACTTAAAAAGAACAGTAAGATTAATTTTCTAAATAAAGAAGATGGTTCGGGTGGCATTCATAATTGAAAATGGAAATAGTAGAAACTATTTATATTTATTAAATCCTGATGTTTCAGCCCAGATTGTAAACCTTCAAGGCTAGAAACAACAACACACAATGATTTAACAATATGAAATAAGTAATAAGAAAATAAAAAATAAAGTTAAAATATAGAGTGAGAATAGCAAAACTTTTTACTATTTTCCACTTATTTGTTTGTAAAATACAAAAAAAAAGTGATTTTGTAATGAATATTGTAGACTGTAAATCTAATCTAAAAATTAGGTCGAGTGTGGAATCAAAGCACTTGAAACTCAAAGACAAGCAAGATTTACAATTATTGGGTGCCTATATTTTAGCCTTCTTTCCAGTTTTATTTAGGTCTTGTTTTAACTTCTTAGACCATATCCCTCCCCATCAACTTCTTTATTAAATATGACATAATTGTTTTATTAATGCTTACCTAAATTGAATAGAGTTTAAAGATTAATTGAACTACTAAATTTTGTTAACATCTGTTCTTTTTAATATTTTATAATTTGTTTTCAGAATTGATTTCTTGAAATATCAGGAGTTGGAAAAAAAATCTACACCAGCAAAAGACACTGCTGAAACACAAAGTCAAATCATATACAAATTTTTATATTAAGTTAATATGTATACTACTTAACCATTTTCGATGGTGTTTATACATAGTCTTAAGAGTTTACTTCATAGTTTGAGGTGTTATGTTTATAATGTTATATATTGGGTTGTCTGGAAAATAATGCAGGATTTTGGTTGAAAAAGAAAGATTTACAACTGTTTTATTTAATCAAAATAGTCTTTAGTAGTATCAATACATTTCTGCCAATGTGTTGGCTACTTTTCCATTCCCTTGGAACAAAATTTTCCATCTTAAGAATTGATGAACTCCAAAAATAGGTTTTTCTAATTCCCTTTATCCATTAAATTTTTTGTCACTTAAGTAGTGGTCCAGGTGTCTGAAAAATGATAATCAGTAGGCGAGAGATAATCAGTAGTGGAGAGTAGGGTGGATGTGGCAGAGTTTCACATCCAAGCTCCAACAGTTGTTGTGACGTCACACGTGACACTTATGGCCAGGCACATTTTGGCATGCAACAAAATGGGCCCCTTCCGATTGACCTAAGATGGCTTCATTATTGCCTATTTCTGAAGCATTGCATTAATTTGGTTGCAATACGATTCGGGTTTGATGGCTTCTCCAGTGCACTCATTAATGCTGCTTTCGCCACAGACTTGATTGACGTTTCTGGCCGTCTGGGCCATGTTCCGAACGACTTTAAACTCATAAAACAAAATTATACTAAAATCATGCGTTGAGATCTTAGGAAAGACTGAATTATTTCTAAGCAGCGAAATGCTACGGAGGTAAACAAACATTATCGTTTAGAAGAGGACTAATAAGTGTTCAAATGAATAATCCAGTGAATGTCAACAGTTTATTATATAGAAGCGTATTTTAAAGAAAACTCAGAATCTCGCATTATTTTCTGGGCAACCCAATAGTTAGTTACTTATTGTTTTCTGTTTATCTTTATTTTACTTAATAAAAAACAGACCTTCTGGAGAGAATTTTTTTTTTTTTTTGTACAATTCTGTTATTCTTAAGAAAATTTTCCCACAATAAAGTTATTATTCTATTCTATTTGGGGAAAACATTATACATAAATGACAGGTGTTGAATAAAAAAAAAATATATCCAAAGAGGATCGTTAACACAAATCCAATAAGTTAATGCTTTTATAGCATTATTCTGTCTAGAAATCAATCATACAGATCAAGTTTTAGCTCATTTGATATAAAAGGATATTTTGATCATTTTGATATAAAGGGATTGCTGAAATGTAGCAAGAGAAAAAATTAAATAAAAGTATATACTTATAAATTTCAAATTAAGGCTGTACAATGCTAAGATAAAGCCAGATCTTACAATCAGTGACAAGACTTGGACTCTTAAACACCATCGTAGAAGAAATTTGAAGAAAAAAAGATTTGAAGGCAAAGGCAGTGTCTTGAATGCCTATAAGACACTGCTATGATTTATCTATAAAAAAAAAAAAAATACTTTACTAGCAGACTTTACCGGCATTAAAATCTGCTGTCATCCTTCTTACAAAAACATTATTATAGAAAAAGACTTTTCACCTAATATATCCTTGGAAATTCGATACCCTCGTGATCACTTCTGCAAAAACCAAATAAAAAGAGATTCCTCAACTTTCGATTGACAGTCTAGTTTTAATATTTTCCGCTTAGAGACACTGAAACACAATTCCAAACTAGTGCACAAAGCAATTCCAGTTATATTTATTGCCATTTCGTCCTGACTCTCCCAATTAATTAGGATTAAGACTAAAATGTTATTGCATAGTTAACATAACTATCTCTTATCTATATCTATTTGTATCTTTTCTAATTACTATTCATTTATTATGATTTAATTTATTTTTTACTAACTTGATCTCGATTAATTTTGTCATTTATCAATTTTTTTATTACTTCTGCCATATTTTCAATTCATTGTATGTTGTTATTTCTACTGTCTTAACTTGGGTACCTTCAATTTGAGGAAATTGCATGATCTAAGCATCATTCCTGGACTGAACTAAACCATAGAGGAAAATGAATATATGTGACATCAAAAAATACCACATATCAAGCTGAAACATTGATAAAGTAAAAATGTGTTAATATAACTTTTTTTCTATATTCTGTAAACCAATGGCTTTAAGGAGAATTCAACTGTCTTTCACTTAATAATTTTGTGAATTTCAACTGTTTTATCAATACAAAAACAGAGTAGGCACATCGAAATGTCACAAACCTTTTTATATATCGAATATATTAACACTAACTCCAAAATGTTCTGATTTTAAACAGGAAAATTCATCAAAGTACTTTGTGATTTAGTTTTAAAAAATGTTACTCAATAACTTTTTGTAATAAACCGACGAAATATTAACTTTTAAAAATCCTCAAACAATTAATTTAAATTATTCAAATGACAAATAAAAAAAGTTGGCAACCTGGAGATAATTGAATTTCAGCGTGCAAATTAACTGTCCTATTCCACAAGGATAACCTATTAACTTTTAACTGCCAAGATTCAGGTTGTTGCGATAACATCGATACTGATAGATATTTGCTTTCGATATCACCCCATAATGTGTAGAAAAAAATGAATCGATATTATCATAATATCGAAAGAAAAATCCTATACCGGATTTCTATATACTTTTTTTGTTCACATTATAAACTAAAATCAATTTAATATTTGAAAAACACAAAATGAGTGTATTGACTGACACATACCAATTTTTTTTAACAATTGAAATACCTTATGTGCGTTTAGACATTTAACAAACAATAGGACACACTAATATTTAAATGTTTTTCCCCCATGCTAAACAGTATTACCGTTCGTACGAGGTTATGACGTACTAATCTATGACATTTCAAAACTCCATTGAACACCAAAAACTTACTATTCTCATCCTCCTAGAGTTTTCCAAAGCATTTGACACAGTTCACCAGATCCTCCTTACTGAACTGCAAAATCTTCCTATATTCAACAGTGTCCTGCGTTGTTTTAAATCCTTCCTTTCTGACCGATCTCAGTATGTAGTCGTCTCAGGTCAACTTCCTAAAAAGACTTCTCTCCTTTGGTGTCCCTCAGGGTTCCTCCCTATATCATACTCGGTTTGCTATTAACGTTAATGACCTTCTTCTCCTGATCCATCACTCACAATACTATATATATATATATATATATATATATATATATATATATATATATATATACGGCTGGCCCCCCCGGGAAGTTAGACCATATACCCTTTAATTAGGGGAAGCCTAGAAGTTGTAAGACTTGTATGAACAGGTCAGAAAGGGGAAAAAAAAGGTCAGAAGGGGAGAAGAATAGGTATATTTCGAAATCATCTGCATATATATATATATGCAGATGATTTCGAAATATACCTATTCTTCTCCCCTTCTGACCTTTTCTTTCCCCCCTTCTGACCTGTCCATACAAGTCTTACAACTTCTAGGCTTCCCCTAATTAAGGGGTATATGGTCTAACTTCCCGGGGGGGCCAGCCGTAGTGGGAAGTAGGGCCGGGTACCTATTCTTCCTTATAACTTCTGACCATCCTGATAGCAGCCACCATAAAACTTCAAGAGGACTTAAATAGAATTTGTGACTGGTTTCAGTATGCGATTGGATTTCATGGAGTGATATTCGATTAGCTGTTCTTTTCTATCTTGATGATGCCTGCATTGGCGAATTGTTGACGTGTTTTTTTTTTGCCTGCATTTTGGAGACATAATGCTGTGTGATTTGAAATTTTTCCAATAATAACATAACTTTTATCCCGTCGTTAAGTAACTTGGAATAACCTTTGATTAAACCATTTCTTGGAAAGACCATGTATCCAATATCTTCCGCCGTGCCTTTTCCATTTTAAAACGTCCTCTGCCTACTATTTCCATTTGAAACCCATAAACTCTTGATCACTTACTTAATATTTCCCCACTTTGATTATTGATGTATATGGGGGCGTCTCTGGTAATCTCGAGGCAAAATTAAAACGCTTGATAAATTGTTTTGTACGATTGATCTTCGGGAAATTATTTTAATAAAATTCGTAATCACTACTAATTTCCTTTCCTATGCTCTGCTCAAAAGGGTCTCCTTAAAGTTGTATATAAATAACCTCATATCTCTTTGTCGAGAAGAATTATGACATGTAACCTGTGAAGGTTCTTTTAAGGTTTTACTACTAAGTGATGTCTGAAAATGTGTGGATTATTTGTAGTATTGCCTAGTAAATTTTAATTTATCTGTGAAAATGCTAGCCGGTCTTCTTAGAAATAGTTCACTATTGTTTCTGCCCCGAAGGTTCGCTGGACATAGTAAATGGTCCAACATAAAACATATTAAAGCCGAAAAAGATAGTCAGAGATCAGCATTATTTGCCAAATTGTGTCAAAGAATGAAAGTAGCAATAAAAGGTACTTTAGAATATTGAATAAATTTTGTATTAGAGCTGCACTGTAAAAAAAAAAAATGTTTCCTATGCTGTAATAAATAAATATGAAATGTTTTTATTTGTTTAAACTTGAGATAGGGAAAAGATATCAGATATAAATGACAGCAGTAGTTCCATAGCGCTAAATGTAATTTACAGATGGATTAAGATCACATCGGTCACTTTATATAGAATCTAAAAAGAAACCCGGCTCAATTTTAAAGCTCCTGGTCTATTTTACCATCATTACTTAATGATCCCTAGGTATGTTTTAGTATTGGTCAATGCTTGGGGTTTACATTTGCACAAAATCCTAGGCTCTATATTATCTAGTCTGGAGCACATAACTTAGTTTTATTTGTAAACCTGTTGTCTTCAGTTCCCCATTACATATATCCAAAGATGCCTGAAGAGCCTTCTTGAAGTCTACATTTTTTTGTCACTTAACTAGTGGTCCAGGTGTCTGAAAAATGATAATCAGTAGGCGAGAGATAATCAGTAGTGGAGAGTAGGGTGGATGTGGCAGAGTTTCACATCCAAGCTCCAACAGTTGTTGTGACGTCACACGTGACACTTATGGCCAGGCGTTGGCATGCAACAAAATGGGCCCCTTCCGATTGACCATAGATGGCTTCATTATTGCCTATTTCTGATGCATTGCATTAATTTGGTTGCAATATGATTCGGGTTTGATGGCTTCTCCAGTGCACTCATTAATGCTGCTTTCGCCACAGACTTGATTGACGTTCCTGGCCGTCTGGGTCATGTTTCGAACGACTTAAAACTCATAAAACAAAATTATACTAAAATCATGCGTTGAGATCTTAGGAAAGACTGAATTATTTATAAACAGCGAAATGCTACAAAGGTAAACAAACATTATCGTTTAGAAGAGGACTAATAAGTGTTGACATTCATTCAAATGAATAATCCAGTGAATGTCAACTTTTGAATTACTACATCATGAATGTCAGTTATCATTACTACATCATGATTTGAGACAGTGCTAGCGTTAGGTTTCTAAATCCTACTGCTGTTCTTGGAAACTTTCCATATCTCATCCATTGCAAGGATAAATGACAGGGAACAAAGGCTATCTCCTTGTTTTACTCCCTTGTTGAAGTGGAAGATCTGCAATGTCTGACCGTTGAGTCTTGTAATTCCCTTTGGATCTTGATATATTGATTTAATAGAGCTCACCAGGTTTCAACTGGCGCTCTTGTCATAAATGTGTCCCATATTTCCTGCTGCTGGACTGAATCAAAAACTGCCCTCAGATTCAGAAATGCCATTGAAATTGTCCTCAGCACAATAATTTTTATTCTACAAAAATAGATCCGATAATTGAATAAATAAATTAAGGAAGTGATACATATTAATATGGTGTGACAGATTGACTATCTGGCTTAATAAAAATGTTATTTGCAAGTAGGCTGTAGTGAACTGAATGAATCAGGGTTTGCTATAAACAGTGACCAATTTTTTGCCCCAAATCACTCATAATTTGTTTTGTAAAAATATGTTTTTTAATTGTTTACAAGTGGATCCACTCATCTCTAGTATAAGCAGCTTGTACCATCAATTCAAGCATTTGTTGAAACTGTAAACTTTCTAACTTTTTTTTTATAATTGTTCCTTTTATTTATTTATAACAATGGGGAGCTCCTCAACCTTTTACGGATCATTTTAACCCTTACAAAATAATTGTTCCTTTTAATATGTATTAAAATGAATAACTAAGTATTTTTAAATATTGTTTTTATTGTCATTTGTTAAGATGGTGGTGGTGCAAATCCTGAACTTAATTTGCAACTGGCACAAGCCATTGAAGTTGCTAAAAAACAAAACATGCCAATTACATCAATTCAAAGTTGCATCAAATCTGCCCAGGTTTGTTTTTATTTTTAGCTTTCAATGTTCGGCATTTAATATAGTTCTGTTCTAATGATTTTTTTATAATTTCAGACTGACAAATCAAATTCTCAAATTCATTGGTTTGAAGCCAGAGGCCCTTCTGGGTGTTTAATGATTATTCAAACACTGACTGATAACCATAAAAGAACGAGAGACGCAATTGCAACACTAATAAAAAAGCATAAGTTAGTATTATAATTTTGTAATCTAAATTTATTATGAATGGTACATTTACTTTCAACTGTAGCATTACTAACATGAAGTGATACTGTTAATACCGCAGCGTTAATTTATTTATTTAAATAATAATTTATTTTATGGATGAGTTGGTTATTTCATCTAAATGAAATCAATTAATAATTATATTTATCCATAGGCCCATAGCTTATATTGTTTATATTCGATATAGACCGGATAATAGTTTATATATGTTGTTATGGGTTGTAGCCCTAGATATAAATAAGTCCTAGGTTCAAGTCCTAAGCCCGTGAACAGTAATACACAGTCTGATCCCGTCGGTCACTGAGCTAAGTGTTGCCAACTGTTACACTGCCCACTGCAGTCTAACTGTGAAGGAGACATACTTCCCTCTAGTCGTTGTGCTTGCCGCTGCCCACTTGCAGTTCGATTAGAGCGCTTATGAATAAATTTACATCAAGTCCGCTGTATAAGGATTGGAGTGCCAGTGGTTTGTCTACTTTTACAAATGTCACCTACTTGCGTCCAAGTAACGTTTATTTATTTATTTATAACAATGGTGGGGCTCCTCAACCTCTTACGGGTCATTTTAGCCCTTACTCAATATTTATTTTACATCAGATGAAATTAAATTTAACAATAAATTGAAAGCATAAAATATTTAAAGCAAAAAACGTTAACCAAGTAGCGTTATACCAATTTATTATTTTTTTTGTTTTGTAAAAAGTTTATTTTTTGGGCTATTAATATTTGTTTATTAGTCTCTATTATTGATTTTAATTTTGGGCCAGTCATATTATTTCTCTATACAGTTTTCGTAAGCACACATCATTGTATTTTATTAAATATTTCTTAATTGTTTTATTATCATTATATTAAGCATATCATTATTTTAATTTATAGAAGTTATTTTATTTTTATTGTTATTGTAAAATTGATTTCATTTTTTTCTTTCTTTATTATTATGTGTAAATATTGAAAAATAAATGTTTGATCATTATAGTTCACTTTCACTTTTTATTACAATTTGTTTAATCAAATCGTAGTTAAGCTTCATTCAAAGGTTAATTTAAACCAAGAGGGAGCTTAACAAATCCTATGTTTTGAAGTAATGATAAATATGTGGAAATCTTTCAGCTGAATAATTCTAACATTAAAAATGCAGAGTTTTGTTTGCTGATCGGTCTGTTAGACACATGTTCCTTCAAAAAGGAGAAATAATTGCTACGCCACCTCCCGATTTGAATAATATTGAAGAAGCTGTTGTGGATCATGCGATAGAATGTGGCGCAGAGGAAGTTTTTCCTGATGATGAGGGTGAAGAAGGAGGATATAAGGTATTGTTTATCATGTATCAAGCATTTATGATTATTAATGGTGACGAAATATTTGATAGTCAATAATAAAGTTGGGAAATTAGAGATTGCAGTCAGTGAGAAACACAAGTAAAAATAATAAATTTTTATTTTATTGTGTGCTGGCATTTTGGCCCCTCATCAGGGTATGAGGGTATTTATACACTTGGTAGGAATAGGAGCACTGATGAGATGTTGGTACACAATAAAAAATATATATATTTTTATTTCTTTTTCTCACTGACTGTAACACTCCACTATATTAATGATTGTATTTATTACTTAATCTGTCTTAATGGTTTGATTTTTTCTTTTGATCTCTAGAGAGATTATTGCAGAACAAACCAGTTTAAATCTCTTTACTTTTGAGAACTTTTATAAGGCTCTTTTTTATGTAATAATTCTTTTTTTTGTAACACCTTATAAATATTTTAAATTGCTAACTATAACTTTAATACTTATCAAAAAATTATTGAAAATCTTTCCCAAATTTTAATTAATCTAAACTCAAATTGTAAGAAAGTACTTCGCTACTTTCCTTTTGAGAAACATCTAATGTTAGTGTCCATGTAGATAGGGTTGGGGTTTTAGGGCGATAAATTGCTAGATTATTACATCCGTCGTTAATGTCAAGTCATGAGATATTGAGAAAATTCTTTTAAACTTTAAAATAGTGTCTTGAAAAAAATGGAATAAAAATTGTACAACAAACTAAATGTAATCATGTATGTTTTGAAGATCTCATGATCATTCTCTGTATATGGGATTTGGAGATTGGCTTAATATTGACATTGGTATAACCTCCCTTTATTTATTTCATGACTGCCTCAAACTCCCAGTTACTCCTTTTCTGCTAAAGATGGACCTAACTTAGCTTTAATTATCACTGCCTAGTTATATAATTGTAGTTATCAACTTCTTGCTCAGAAGGAATAAACAAACCCCAATAGTTGAGGTTAGGGCCTTGCCATGGCGTGATCATTTGATTTTGTGCCCACTTATCAAAGCAGCTAGTGCATTTGTTTATAAAAACTACACATCCATCATCGCTTCCCCAAAGGTGCAAATTGTACAACTGATCTGTATAAATTTTATTCTCTCTTAAGTGTTGCCTGATACATTTTTTTTATATTTATTTTTTTCATGTTATCTGCTATTGCATGTTATTTATAATGCTTTTCCTGTTGTAGATGTTTCAAAATATTAATTAATTTTTTTTTTTCAGTTCATATGTGAACAGAATGTCCTGAATATAGTTAGTAGCAAATTGCAAGTACTCAAGTACAACGTAAAATCGGCTGATTTTAATTTTATTCCTACTACTAAAGTAGAGTTATCAGATAAAGATATGGAAATAATAAGCAAATTAATGGACAAACTTATAGAACTTCCAGATGTTGTTAGTTTATATGATAATATAGTTTAATTTACTTATATATATATATATATATATATATATATATATATATATATATATATATATATATATATATATATATAATTTTATACTGAATGAACTCAATGTCATAACCAGTTATTTTGTAAATATAAATATCTAATTTTAAATCTGCTATTTGTTGATTATTGTCTATTTTATTTCATTCTCCTGTGATATCTTTTCTTTGGTTGTCTTAAGAATCACAACTTTATAAATCATTATTAATATTTGATCCATTTTCAGTATCATACATATTGCTAAAAACTGATGAAAAATATAAAAAAATCTTTCAGGTTTTTAGTAAGAATGATTATACTGTACATGGGAAATCTGCTGTTCCTAATATTATATGTGCAGTATTCATAAATGCCATCTCTGATATTAATAATTGAATATGCAATTACATATTTTTTATTTTATTTATTTATTCAGAAATATTACAATTTGTCACAATTAAGGACATTTATAATAGTGTTCAGAGGGCACAATAAATAAAAATAAATAATACAGAAACTAATAATAATAAAAGTAAATGTATATAAACAAAAGAACTAAGCTAATCAAAATAATAACTAAAACACATGCATACTATATAATATTTACAGAATCCATTCACTCAGAGCCAAGCCTTTCTTCCCATTCGTTGAAAGAAAGGCAGGACTCTAGGAGATTCCAGCGCCTTTCACTCAACCACAATTTTACTGGTATTAAGAACCAGTAGAGGCTGAGAAGAGTCAACATCATTAAAATTGAAATTTGTATATGTATGCTTAAGCAAAATAGGGTAACTTACTTTGATAAGTCTTAAGGCCAAAAATAAACAAATAAAAGAAAAAACTTGATAAAATATAAATCAATTAGTTTTAACGAAATTATCATTGCTTAACCTAAATATGATCACTAATAAAAGAAGTTTATTATCCTCTCATTAATAAGATATTTAATGAAATCTCTATTTTGGTTTTTTGTCCAATTCAGCTGAACTTTTAACAGTTGATGATTATTAGCTATAAACTTACAAGCTGTTATTAATAATATATTAACAAAATTATTTAATATCAATGGACAGCGAAGTGTATTTCATTCTCTTACTACCCTTTAAGGTGAAAAAAAGATGATTGGTAAAAAACTGGTTTTTGGATCTCATCTCATTATTAGATTATACTAGGGATAGCCATCAGTACTCGATATCAAAATTTGTCTTACGATATTCTATATTTTACCATCGATGGCATATACTACGATATTTTAATTAAAAAGTTAAATTAAAACTATTGCTTTCAGAATGATTAGCATTTTGCTGAATCTGATCTATGGGGAATGGAAGGCATAATTGGTTAAATGGAAATTTATAGAAAAAAACTGAGGATGATGAAGATAGACAGGGACCAGGAAATTAATTTTACTAAGGAGGATAGGAGAATTAATATTTCCATTAATCAATTTAAAGAACAAAATAACATATTTTTTGATCCGCCTATGTCCTAGAGAATCTATATTTATATTGACATTTCAAAAATGTTTATAATATCAATGAAAATATTGACTTCAAAAGTATTAATATTCCAAATATGATATTTCTATCAATGACTTTTGTTATTGGCTTTCAATATTCTATCTCTAAGTGATAGACTATTATGAGCCAAAAAAGAGATATTTTTTTTTCTATTTTATTTAATTTTCCCCTCTCTACTGAACTTATTTTAATAGAAGTTTTAGTGAATATAATACGTTATGAGTTATGAATTACCAAAAAAAAATTTTTTTAAATCCAAATGGAGATTTTAGCACTCTTAAGTTCAATCAACTAACTAGAATAACAAAATTAATCTTAAAAATTTAAGCAGTTTTGGTGAAAATACAATGAATATCATTTGAAGTAATTCATCTTGTGTTGGAAATATGAAGATCAGAAATTTGATATTGTTTTTCATGTCATATAAAACGAATCATGCTTACATTACAGAAAACATTTGACTTGAAAATTGACTCATGATATCCCTTTTCTTACTTTAAAAACTACTAAACTGAATTTAATTATAACTCACAGTGACATTATTAAGATCATTCAGGTATTGAAGTCAAATTAATTGACTTTTTAAAAATCTAAGTATGATTTATAATTTAAAGGCAATGTTTTGGGCCAATCATCTGGAATATCTTAAAGAAAACTGATCTGCAACATAAAAACTAATTGATCAGTCAAGTATAGTAAACTGATTAATTCATTTAATGCTTAATTTACTACTGACATTGTACACATTATCTTTACTGATATAAATTAAATTTTATTGAAATCGACGTATAGGTAAATAGTAGTGAGAAGATAACTAAAAAAAAGGTCACAACAGCAAACCAGTAAAAAAATTATCACTGAAACAAATTTATTGAATAACAACATAATTTAAAAAAAAATAAACTAATATATTAGCGAATATGCAGCAATAAATATTTAAAAAACTATAATACATATTATACATGTGACGAGATCTTTAATAATAGTGAAATTAAAAGTTATCTTCCTCAGTTTACAACTTGATCTTCTTTTTAGATGCTTTTTTCTTTTCTTCATTAACTTGTATCATATCTTGTAAGCTCGGATACTTGCTAGCGATTGTCCCATTATCTCTTTTTCTCTTGGATGAAGAAATTTCTGAAGGGCATTTCATAAAATTATTCAGATTAATACTAGATCCCTCACTTGTGGAAGACTGAGTTTTTACATCTTTGTTTAACACTATTTCATCAATCTCTTTTTTTTCTACGTCTGTTGTGATCTTGTCACTTGTTTTTTCAGTGTCTTGGCTTTGGGAAAAAGATGAATTCATTTCTATTTCATCCAAAGCTGTTATAAAACTTTCATCAAGAGCATCATCATTAAAATCATTTTCTAAGAGGTCTTGGCTTGACCCAGTTTCTTGAGAGTTATTTTCATCAGTATGTTCGATAGTTTCTTCTTCTGTTTCATACCTGAAAATAGTGTAGATTTATATTTTAAAAACAGATGAAATCTTTGAGGAGAAGTTAGTTCGGGGTGCGGTCTACAGTCACACACATAATACACTGACAGGCAAAAAATTCCACCCACTTGATTTTTTCATGTTTCCATCTAAAAATATTTCTGCTTTGGATTGGTCTATTGTTTTTAATGAATAAATAGGTAATCTTTTTGTTTGTTTTCAATTAGGAATGTTAATATACAGGACAATAACCCTTGATCCTTAACTCAATGAAATGATTCTAGATTCCAATGTTTACTTTCTATGGAATCAAAATGTTTATTCAGTATCATTAGTTCAGTGCCGTTTTTTCCAGCACATTTTTTTTCAATATTAGGTTTAAAAATGCCTCTTAGCGTTGAGGATGATGCGCGTGGTGTGGCACTTATTGATGATGGACATTCCATTAGATATGCAGCTAATGCCATCGGAGTTCCATATGAAACTTTACGAGATGCCGTCAGGCGTTTTCGAGAAACTGGTTCTTACAATAGAAGGCCCGGTTCTGGAAGGCCTAGGGTAACAGAACCACGGGATGACCGGTTTTCGACTTTTACAAATTTTACAAAACCGGCACCTTACCGTTGTTCAAGCGATTCATCAGCTCGAAGAAGTTCGAGGTGTGCAAATTTCTGAACGTACCGCTCGGAGAAGATTAAATGAGTATGGATTAATGGCTTTTTGTCCAGTAAGAAGACCAGAGTTGACCAGAACTCACAGAGTAACACGGCTGGCTTTTGCTCGAGAACACAGCCGTTGGACTATAGACGAATGGAGTGCTGTACTTTTTACAGATGAGTCAAGATTCGCTCTTCGATCTACAGATGGGCGTGAAAGGGTGCGGAGAAGAAGAAACGAAAGATATGCAGCTTGTAATTTTTCCCAGAGCCAACCTTTCCAACGTGGTTCCTTAATGGTGTGGGCTGGGATTTCAATGGAGCGCCGCACAGAATTGGTTGTTGTTCGTGGAGGGTCTTTGACGGCCATTCGCTATGTAGATGAGATTTTGGAACCTCATGTGTTGCCTATCCTCAACGAAATCGGCGATCGTTCTATTCTAATGCACGCCCACATGTCGCCCGCGTAGTGCAGACGTTCCTTCAACAGAACAATATTGAGGTTTTAGCATGGCCAGCACGTTCTCCATATTTCAACTCCATTGATCATTTATGGGATAACCTCGGAAGACGAATAAGAGCGCGTGCAACACTTCCTGATACACTGCAGGACCTTGAAAGGGCTCTTCGGGAGGAATGGGCTATCCTCCAGCAAAGAGACATTTCCCGACTGGTGGAAAGTATGCTGAGGCGTCTTCAAGAAGTAATGAAGGCAAGAGGAGGAAACACGCGCTACTAAACGATGATGTAATTAATTTCTTTTGGAATAATAATGGTTCGTTCTGGAATCTAGAATTATTTTATTGAATTAAGGGTTATTGTCCTCTATATTAACATTCCTAATTGAAAACAAACAAAAAGATTAGCTATTTATTCATTAAAAACAATAGCCCAATCCAAAGCAGAAATATTTTTAGATGAAAACATGAAAAAATCAAGTGGGTGGAATTTTTTGCCTGTCAGTGTAAATTGGATAGCCCTAAGTTTCGACCTATGTTATAGTTCTTCATCAGGGCTTTCATACGTTTTCTTGAGCCATGTAAGAACTCAGTTCCTTTGCTTCTTTCAGCACAGCTAGATATTAACATATTGTGTGTGACAATTGACTGCACTTTCCGACTAACTTCTTCTAAAAATTACAAATACTATCACAGCATAATTAGTTCATTTAAATAATTAAATTATAAATAAAAATAATTTAAAAATACATACTTAAAAGTTCTTGTTGCAGGCTTATGAACAAAATTCTTGAGGAATCTCTTGGCTGACACAGGTCTAAAAATGAGCATAAGTTAATTTAATGATTTTTTTCATTAAATTAATTAATATTTTAATTAATAAAAAGATTTTTAACGCATTAAAAAATTAAGATAGCTCCATAAATAAATAAATAGTATTTGAAGATGGCCTGAAATAAAGAATAATGAATAATATACAGTGGAGTGGTAAAGTAAAAAGATCCTCATAAAAATAAAAAAAATTAATTTCTAGAAACAATTTTGTGATTTTTTAATTTAGTTTGAATAGGTAATAATTCATTTTTGAATTACGTAAATTGTATATTGAAAATTATCCATGGCAAGGTAAGCTTAAATTTTGTTGTGAACCACATTGCAAAAAGTTCAATGACTTAATTGAAGCTGCAGAATTTATTAATAAACTAAATAAAATTCTCTAATTCCTTAATACACTAGTACTTAATATCAATTTTTTCAGAGAAAAATAAAGAGATTTTACTTACTTAGAGGTGTTTCCGGTACGGTGCTCCTCAATCACGTTCTTTATACATTCTATACATTCCTTTCCAAAGTTAGTAATTTTGGCTTCATTGATTCCTTCAACTATAAGATACAAACCAAAATAAAATTGTTTAATACTTCATAAATTAAAATGAAAAAAATTAATTAAAATTCAGACAGCAAAACAAAATTATACATATCTATTTACCAGCAGATAATTCATCCAATGTTGCTGGTCTTTTTACGGAGAGATCATAAATACTTCTATTATCAAGTACCATGTAAGGGATGCAATTAAGAAGTTTTGCCGTTTTAACACGAAATTCAAGAAGCTCATTGAATATTTTGTTCTGAAAAATTTAAAAACAAATACATTTTTAACTATTGATAAATAATTCATACAAAAGTAATAAAAACAGTATTAACATCCCTTAATTTTTGTAATTAAATATACATTCTTAGCTTCTTTAAAAAAAAAAAAAAAAAAAAAGCAGAAAAAAGATATATTAAATTCACTAAATAAAAAAAAATAATCAATTGATGATGAATGAAATAAATATAGATTTATCTCACAAAATAAGAATTGTGTTGATGTTTGTCTTTTATAAAAATTTAATAATTTTACTCCGATCTTGATTGAATTTTGTAAACTTCCTTTAAAATAAAAGGCTATTTCTGTCTTTATGAGATTAAAACTACTTCCCTTTTTCCTCTCTAAAAAACTAAAACATAACAGAAAAATTACTGACTTTAAATACTTTTATAGCAATTATAGCACATATTTCTTAATACAAATTGCAGTAAACATGTAGCATAATGATTTATTTTTAGAAGTTATTAGAGAAGATAAACAAATTTTTCTTTTAATCGATGCAGAAGTTTTACTAACTAGAAATTATTATATGCAACAAGTTTTACTTTGCAGGCAATAAGTAAGACTATGTAAAGTGAAATTATTTAATTTTGAAAAAAAGGTAAATGTTATGTTTAACAAAACTAGCACAATAGATCAAACCCTAAAAAGAAACAAAACTTTTACTTTTCTACATAATTACTTGTATTTATATAGTTGATAATAATTAAATAAATCTGATGCTTTAGTTTTATATATGAGAGAAGAAAAAAAGAGAAAGTTCGTATCAAAATGTTTCAAATCAAAGCCAACTAAAAAAAAATCTAAATCACACCTCATATCTCTTATCTTAGTTAATCATTACTACCTCTAATGATGCATTTCTAATTAAAGATGAAGAATCTTCCGAGCCTTGACCACTTGAACTGACGCTATCTTCTCTGTACCTGGTCATGTCAACCCAGCCGTCCTCATTTTTTCTGTAAATTAGTTTAATTAAATGCTTTAAGGGATACAATAATTTGGGTTCTTATTTCCTTCACCATCTACTTGTTCATTCCACTATTATAGTTCTTATGGCAACGTTTGGGCCTCTACACCATTAGTTAATTTTATTTCTTCCTGTTGCATAATAAGCTTCCTATTAAGCATTTCCACATAATAATGCAATAATGCAGTGGTAACAAATAAATTAAACTAATGGCGTAAAGGCTGAAATGTTGCCATAAGAACTATTATTGTGGAATGAATAAATACATGTTGAAAGAAATAACAGCCCAAATTATTTTAACACCTAAATAAGAAGACAACCTTTATAAGAACTTAACAAAACCATATATGCTTTAAAAATATTCTTTATTTCTATCAGGTTGGTCAATGAAATTCTTAAAGAAATATTAGTTTAAAGGAAATCACAACAACCAAGTAATGCCCATTTGGAAAGCCTAACATAAAAAATTTGTGATGTTTCTCAAGTCATAATAATAACATAATAAGCTAAATTTAATTTGATTGTTTATCTATAGAATGGTTTAGTGGATTGAAATTCACTCTGATTTTAAATCACATTGTTAGAAATAATTTAAATAACAATTCTTGAACCCTTATAAATTAATAACAACCTAATTTTGGTATGGTATGACTCAGGAGCCATTATTCCACAATAATCCTTAAATTACATTTTTTTACTTATATTCTTTAAAAAATTAATTACATATCAAGATCGACAACTATTTTCATTAAAAAAAGTCTGCCAAGTAAGGTCATAATAGCTTCCTCACAGTTTTCATTGGATATACAATCTATAATTCAAGATTTATAATTTTTCGCATGAGAATAAGAAGAAGTAGTTTTCGGAAATACAATAATCTCTCAGCATTCGGGTTTGCTATCCACAAATTTTGTTCACTAGCGAATATTAAAATGAGTAAGAGTTCCACATTTTCAAATTGCGAATTTGATGATTCGTGATTAAATAAAAAAATCCGAGTACATACTGGACATGCATAACGCTACTGTTAGTGAAAAACATTGTATGTAAATATCGATTGTTTTACGGGAGAGAATAAAAAATAATTATTCCTTTATGATTAATTAGTATAATTTCATATTTTATTTTCCTCTGTTATATCACATAGTAGCAGACTACAACATGTCATCAGCATGTCATCAAATAGAATATAAATAGTAAAATTTTATATAAGATCTTTTGCACAAACAGCAACATTTTTAATATATTTAATATGGTATGTTTTGACTAGTAAAATGGAGAGAACAAAAAATACTTAGGAAAAATAAAACTTTTTGTTTGTTCGGAGTTAAGGAGGCCAATACTTTTCTTCAGACAGAAAAAATCTAATTAAGCTGGAATATAAAAATTAAGTTCACACAACTTTGATATTTAAGGAGGAAATCGAGACCATGAAGAGCTGGTTGTACTTAAATAGAAATAAATACAATCACAAACAACACTTTTTTTTTTTATAAACTCAAAGTAAAAATTAATTTAAATTTACTGAAAATTACACAAAATTTAAGTAACAACAGTAAGTGTCATGCCAGTAACATTTGGAATCGACCAAACAATACAGTATAAATTAAATTTTTGAATAAAACCTAAAATTTTATAAATCAATAAAAATATTATCTTAACCAAACTCCCACTCCATATGATCAATGCCTTCCACATTTCATAGTCATTATATTGTCATTATTAAATGGAATTCAATGAAATTGACACTAGATATTTTCTATACTATTCTCCAAGTTTGGGTCAAACCGAACGCACAGTTTTAACTATGGACATGTCAAATAATAAATTTTCTGATGTGAAAGCGGAAGTTTTTTTTTGGAGTAGTAGTAGTAGATAAAATTTGATAAAATTCATACGTACTTGATTATCTGTTTACCAATCACTAACTTCTCTCCAAATTAGAGTCAAATCGAACATGCGGTTTTAGTAATGTAGGTGTATCAAGAAAAACATGTTTGCTCATTTATAAGAGAAAATAATGGACAGAATTCAGTAAAATGTACGCTACATTAATGTTTCATCAATATCTATTTTTTATCCAACTTTGAGCCAAATTGAACGAGCCGTTTCTGAAATATTGGCATATCTACAAAAATGCGTTTGTGCATGTTTAAGCAGAAGTGCTGGATGGAATTTGATAAAATTGACATGAGACCATCTAGACACCAACCTGCAAAATCCCGTAAAATTGGATAAACGGTAGTAGATTATATGCCCATTACATCAATTTAACTACAGACTGACAAACACCGAACCAAATTTGATCCTTGATGTCTGAAACGTAAAACGTAAGTGGAAATTTTTTTTAACCTCTCACACGAATACAATGCTTCCTTACCTTCGGTAGTGAGGAACCAATAATTATATAAACCAATAATATGGGTGTCCGAAAATGAGGAGCATGATGGAAAATTGTTTACAAAAAATAATATTCTTTAAATAGTGTTTCCCTTACTCACAATGTTCTTCAAATCACAACACGAGATATCCAATTACGAGAAAAATCATGGCTTCAGATATCGCCATTTTTACTGATAAAATTCTCCTTTAGTCAAGTAACTATAATCTAAAGAATTCTGAAGTTAAGAATTTGACTAAAGGACTCAGGCCAACAATCCTTCAATCTTTTTATGAAGTCTAATAGCGTGTGTGTGAGTTTGGATTTTAACAGTTGATCTTATTGATTCAAACATTATTATCCGTTTTCAAATGATGCTTGAATGGAATGGGTTTATGTTTGAAAATGAGCATGATACAAACATTTAGCTGTACTGATTGTCATTGTTTTGAGTAATACGCCCGGCTATTGACCAGTGAGTGAGATTACGAAACAAATAGAAAACAAATTCGTGGGACCCATAAATTGCAACATACCTAAGAAATAAACAAATGGCTGAGGTGTTAATGCTTATAAAGATTTAAGTGCAAAAAAACAAATTTGGTATGAGGAATGAAATGTTTTTTTTAATATTTAACAATGATCAAAATATATATATTTTTTTAAAGAAAAAGCATAGTAAATTAGTATCTACTTTTCCAAATTAAGAGCTTAGGAACATTGCCATCAGTAAAAACAAAATTATTTTTTGGAAAATTTGGCAACTGATCTGCTTTTGAACAGCAATGCCTCATTGATATATAATGTTTATTATAATTTTAATATGACCTTGTGTGTTTTAATTATTAATATAATTATATTTTCTTATCTTCTTTTTATTTTGTACAGGTAAAACAATAAAAGTTTGAATTTTATTTGTATGAGCTTTCCACCACATAAAAATTTGGGAACTCCTCTCTACACTAGGTTATAAACTTATCAAATTAACACTAACAATAATATGTAAACATTTAAAATTCTAACCTTGGTAAAAGCTTTATCATTGGCAACATTTCGGGAGTTGGCTCAAGATGCGCTGTTTTACCTTCCCTAAAATGTCAAATAAAATAGTATTAAAAAACATAAATAACTTATACTGCAAGAGATTCTATTTAATTTCAGTTTTAAATAATCCTCACACATTAAATTTTGAATAAAAATAAATAAAGTTGAATAAAGGATATTATAAAGATATAAATCACATTTAACATACATTCTCATATAAAGCTTTCCTTTTTCAGTTAGATTTACAATTTTCACAGGGAAATTGTTTTTGTTCCATCCTTGCCCAAAATTAGAAATATTTTCTTCGAGTAAATATTCCCTCAAAAGGAGACAACCTGAAAATAAATTTTAACCTGATATAAATGCATTCCACATTAAATAAAACTAACAATAAATTAGCATTTTATTCTACAGGGATATACAAAGTTGTATAAAATCAATTCGAAAGTGATTTTTTTATGAGAGAACAACAAAGACAATTTATTTATATAGTAGTTCACAATTTATTATCTGTGAAAATAATTTATGAAGTATTTTATTTACTAAGAAAAAAAAAAAAAAATGTTTGGTTCTGGCTTGTGCAAGCAAAAATTTATTTATGCTTATATTTCTATTGTGAACATACCTTATATTTAAAATACAGCTCGTTCGAATAGGCACAAAATTGAGAAAAAGGTAGGGATTAGAGAAAGAATAATGCTTAAGAATAATCAATTTTATTGAAATCCATCTGCTCACTACTTCGTTTTCCATAAGCATAAACGTATTTTCCTTGATATGCCTACAGCACAAAAACCGTACATTTGATTTGGCTCAAAGTATGGATTGGTAAAAATGTGATATTAGCGGGACTAGAAAGTAATGCCATTTTCTTATATTACATTCAAAAACATAAATTTTAAACAAGTTTTTATTTTTAATCATTAATAGAATCACTCTCATTATCAACAACCCTTTGCCATCTAGTGTGCAAATTTTGGACATCATTCAAAGTTGCAAATCTTTTGTCATTTAGAAAGTTTTGAAACAGTCCGAACAACTGGAAATCCTGTTTTTGGAATACGGTAGATGAGGCAGTAACTCCAACCCCAATTCATTAATTTTTCCAGGATTTTTCTAATGCAGTGCGATCTTATCTCTTTGTGTTGCAGAATAATGCTATTTCTGTTGGCAATTGCTGGCCATTTTTCAATTAAAGATTGATTTACATGATCCAATTCTTCACAAGAAAGATCTGCATTCACAGCTTGTCCAGGTTCCAGACTTCAAAATGAGCAATGCCGGGAATACTAAACAAACACAAAAGGGCCTTTCTGGGGTGTAAACCTGGCTTAGCAGCACTTCATGGCGATTCTTTTGGAGAAAGCCACTGCCTTTTGGATTATCATATAGGGCCCATTTTTTGTTTCTGGTATTCAAGCGTTCAAAAACCGCTTCTGTATTGTGCTGCAAAAGCAATAAGTTACATATGATGGTTTCCCAATGTGCTGAAAATGTTCTTGGATGGTCGACCAAGGTTGGTTAAAACTGTTTAAAAATTCCTCTATTGTCTGACACGGATTTGCTTACGCTCTTAAGACGTCATTGCCTAACGTTGTTCGGTCTTCGTGATTGAGTCAGAAAGATCAAAATTACCAGATTTGAACTTGAAAAACCACCTTTGTCATTTACGAATGTCTAATGTATTAGGATAAATAAACATCTTAAATGTTTTTTGTAGCAACTGTTGCGATACTATCCTTGTCAAAACTCAAAAAGCATGCAATGCCGGGTATGTACTTCTTCTGGTATTTCGCTGGTCATTTAACCAAAAATTGCAACAAAAAAAATTACTTAAATTTAATTATCTGTAACTAAAAAAATCAGTATAACCTTATAATGTCTTTGCCATGACATAGCTGTACATAAGCTGCCAAATGACAATTAAATAGTGGCCTCCTCAGTAACGACAGTACTTTACGTTCCCCTTAATAAATTAGGTATCAATTTTATCAAATTTCATCCAATACTACTGAGGCTTCCCGAAGGCTACAAGAGGACATCGAAGGCTACAAGAGGACATCGACTGCATCAACAGATGGGCAGATATTAATGAATTAAAGCTGAATGCAAATAAAACCACGGCTATTACTTTCCTCTACTTGACCTCAATAACCGTCCCATCCATTTTTCCCTACAGTCAAAAACCTAAGAGTAACCTATGACCAGAACCTCTCCTGGAATAACCATATCTCCCAGATTACCCAAAAATCCATAACTGCTCATAAACAACTCCTAAGATTTCGTGATTGTATTCCTCTAAAATCCAGACAGCTCTTTGTAACCTTCCTTGTATTCCCCCACTTCAACTACGCTGTTTGGTGTATGTAGGGCTATCTGCCAGGCTGGAAATGAGACTAAAGAGACTCATGAATTGTTTCATAAGATACATTTTCGGGATCCTCAGGCATTCACATGTTTCACTCTGGTACACCGTGTTGAAGTGGCTTTATCCTACTTCCCGACGACAATTCATCCTTGGTGTTTTCCTTTTCCAAGTCTTCAGAACCAAAAACCCTCCCTACATCCTGGAACTCTTTACTCTAAGCTCCTCTATCCACTCTCTCAATACTAGGTCTCAACCTATAGACTAATATATATTCCCTCCCATAAAACTTCCTCCTTCAGCAAATCCTTCGTCATTCGTGCTGCTTCCTTATGGAACTCACTTTCTACCTCCATGCGTCAATCCTTGTCCACAAATTCCTTCAAACAACTCCTGTACCAACACCTACTCCACATTCAAACTTTCCCTAACATGTAAAATTACTTGCATCTGTACAATATTTAATTTCAATCTATTGCCCAATTGAAATAATAATTAACAGTAAATTAGTTTGTATTTTGATTATGTCAGACTAAGACCCATAAATTTGTAACTCTTATTATTTTTAGGGGACAGTAGTCCCAGAATAAAATTATTTTTTCATTTCATTTCATTACTTTCATTGACACGCCTATTTTTCAAAAAAAGCTTGTTCAATTTCAAAATTAGAGGGATTACGGGGAATAGTATATAAATATTCATTTCTTCTAATTCCATTTAACAATTAAAATTAATCTACCAACTAATTATTAAGAATATAATAGTCGTGAAATGTGTCATTGTGCAAGGATAATAACAGAAGAGTTGAAGGGAGCTACCAATACCTGACCGCTATAACATATACTGTTGTTAATTCAATTTGATGTTCGGCGATTGTGACAATCAATATATACGGATGGTCAAATATCGATTTTATCAAATTCTATCTACTTCTTTTGCTTAAATATACATTTATCCTTGACAAGAATGAACTTCTCCTGTAGAATTTATTCTCAAATCATAGACCTTGAAATATAGAGGCCTATATAACCAATAGAAAGATAAGGGAGCTATTTTTTTTTTTTTTTTTTTTTTTTTTTTTTGTAAAGAATATATAAAAATAACATATGAATATACTTAATAATTGGATATCTATTTTCAAAGATTAGAAAAATTAAGTTAATAAAAATCATATACCCAATAATTTCCACCACAGTTCAGTTTTTTTTCTTCCAGCACCATACAGTTCATGATTATGAAACTTTTGCGGAAGCCTTTTATTAGATGATCCTCTGAGAAAGAAGATATACATTGCAAGGCCGTATTTTCCATACATAACATCAACAGCTTTTAGCATTAGAAGAGCATCTTCAGTTAGATCACATTCAACAACATTAGATGGTCTCTTACTAAAGAGGAAAAATAAAATGTAAATCAAAGCTGATTATGACAAATAGTATAATAGATGTTATAAAAATGGATATAATCAAATAACAGTTTTTTTTTATTGTTGATTTTTATTGCTTATGTATTTTTGGGATGAAAAAAGGTGTTCTAATTAGTTATTTATTGTGTTAATTCACTTTTTATAAACTAAATATTTCTATTCAGAGATGACAGAGTCAGAGAGAAATATGAAAGATATTTCTTGAATGAAAATTTTGAAGCTAGAAACACTATTCTAAGTTATAAGATACTCAACAGTATGAGATAGGCGCTGGAAAGGGCAAGTCAAACTCTTGTGCCAGATCTGTCTCCACTGCTTTTATTAAATGCTAATTATCTTCGCAAATACTTAAATAAAGAAAAATTCGGGACGTTTTGGGTTTTTATTGTTATAACTTAATCTTCACTGATGGATAAAAATTGAAATTTTCTGCAAGTTCCCAATTGTCGTCATCTCATATTTTTCAAAGTAACAGAGATGTTTAAGATTAACAACCAACTAATAGAAAGATATAAGACATTTTACAATTTATTTACAATGCACAAAAGATTTTTTAAAAAAGTGATACCACTAATGTCCAACCAACCAAATTACCTTTTAATACAATTGTCACAACATGATTGAGGATCGACTTCATCAAATTTTGTGCCGGGACTAAAATGTTTTAGAATAAACTTCCTGCGGCATTCAGAGGACTGAAGATAGCACTCCATTTTACGTTGCATATCTTCTTTGTGAGATTTAAAGTTACCCTGTAATGAAGTCAGGAAACTCCTAAAAATGTGCAAATAACATAGAAAAAATAAAATAAAATAAATATTGTAAACAAATGAAATAGTTATTATCATTAAACAATGCAGAAATTCACTTTGAAATTGTTTCGAACCATTCACTGTATCAAAGATACTACGAAAAAATAGGAAACCAAATTAATTGTAATGAATTTTTAATTAAATTATAATAATGACAGCGAAAATCTAACTACTTTCAGAATTACTTAATTAATTGAATTCAACCAACTCCTTTTGTTCGTTGACTAATCGATAGATTAGCTAATATAATGAAAACAACACTATCAGTTTTTGTTATAATCTTTAGATAATCTCTGACTAAGAAATGCATATTTTCTAAAAAAAAAATTATTATTAGGTTTTGCAAGACTAGTTTATGATCTTTTTTTTTTTTTTTTTTTTTTTTTTTTTTCATTACTGCAATACACTGTCCAGCACTACTTCTCATACAAGTATTGGAAGAAATAAAAAAAAAAATAATATATAAATAATTCTTATTTTTTTTATTTAAAAGTATAACATCAATAACTGTCATTAATTTTCTCAAAAATATTTGCTTAACAATGAATACATTACATAATAAAATAAAAATTTGAATACAGCAACAGTTTTCATACATACTCTTATTATATAATAATTTATTTATTATAGTCTAATTTTTTAAATCAATACTTTGAATACTTTCAAATACTTTGAATGCAGTAATTTGGTTTTTAGTACCATTATAAATTATTTGTGCATTTATGGGGTCATCTTCAAATTTAATTGGGAGGATATTTTAGCCCATTTCTTCCAACAATTTAGTTTTAAGATATTTTACTGATGTTATATTTTAAATCCACATCCCTATCAATCATATTTTCTTTGACTTTTAGGGCTAGTGCGGCAAAAATTGGTATAGTATTAACAATTTACAAGGATAATAATCCTTAGCCCAAAGCTCTCTTTACATGGGTATGGCTGCTATATAACTATCCAAATGAACAAGAAATTCCTAATCGGCATCCAGATTTGAATCCTATCAAATAAAGTAATGCAAAATATTAATTTAAAAATTTAGACTAAAATAAATAAATAAATTGCTACATATGAATAAATATGAAAACTGTCGCTGTATCAAAATATTAATGTTATACTTAATTTATATATATATATATATATATATATATATATATATATATATATATATATATATATATATAATAAATAGGCGCTGTAGAAAATGTCTTGTCTAAAAAAAATAATATATATATATATATATATATATATATATATATATATATATATATATATATATATATATATATATATATATATACGTATTTATATTAAATTGATAAGAGAAGTATTGAAGTCATACTTAGATCTTTAAATTAAAAAAATATAAATTCTATCTGAGCATGATATAAATAGTTATTAAATATGTATAAATAATTTTTAAATTATTTATGAATACATTTCGCTTGCAATTGTTAGTTATTTTTAAAACCATATTTCACTGAACCAAAATAAGTGATATCTACTTCAGCCAGAATGCACAAATAATGTAGAATTGCATAGGATGGTTCATCAATCATTATAGTAATAATTCACAATAAAAAAAAATTGACCAAATGTCTGCAAGGAATTATTTCAGACATTAATGAATTACTCGTTCATAAGTTTAACACGTTAGTAACAACCATTTACATGGATAGGAATGAAAGATTTTGTAAAAATGGTTTATAAATATACTCTATTATAAAAACATACTTGCACAAAGTGAAATCTGATTGCGTATAGAAGGTGTGACAAACAGAAGGCAGGCCATCTCTACCTGCTCTACCGATTTCCTGATAGTATGATTCAATATCCTTTGGTGCACCATAATGTATAACAGTCCTTACATCTAAAAAATATATATATTCTGCTACCTTAAATGTTAAACAATAAAGAAAAAACACAATAATATTTCACATCTAAGCACAACTGCTAAATTTTAGCAACAAATGAAGAATCTCAATAAAAAAATATTTATACCTGGTTTATCGATTCCCATTCCAAAAGCAACAGTTGCTATGATAATTGGAACAGTGTCCTGGACGAATTCATCATGAACTTTTTGGCGTACTACATTGGAAAGACCAGCATGATACATGTTACAATTCAACCCGACAGCTAACAGAACAATAAATATCATTAGAATGAGAAAAGAAATATAAGACTAGCATCTTTTTGTAACAAAAGCTCTACTTTTAAGTGATGAATAAATCTTGTCAGCAGTCTTCTTAGTAGGGCAATAAATGATTGTAGAACCTCTTCCACTGTTCTTAAGATTCTGTTGGTTAATAAAATTACGTAAATCAGTTAATAAATCTAGACCCTTTGTTGAGACAGATAAGAACAAATTTGGGCGGTCAAAGCTGGTGCATATAAGCTGAGGGTTTCTAAAACAATAAATTATGTAAGAAAAAAAAAGTTTATTTATTCAGATCATAATATAAATACAACCTTAAATGCAGAGAAGAACAAATGTCTTGTCTAACTTGTGGTGTAGCTGTCGCTGTCAGTGTCAGAAAAGGTACTTCTGGAAGAACCTTCCGCAACTTTCCAAGATTTCTTAAATGTGCAATGAAATAATAAATTACAATTACTTAAATAAGAAAACAAAATTTCATTCCCATAGTGAATAATTACCGATATGATGTCCTAAAATCAAATCCCCACTGACTAACACAATGCGCTTCATCTATAGCAACAACGGTAATATTCATCAATTTCTCAATTATACTTAGTCCAAATTCATTTGTACACCACTCTGGAGTCATGTACACAAGCTTGAATTTTCCAGCAAGTAAATTATCTAATATTAAACTTTTATCTGACTGTGCGCTACCAAGGTAACATGCGGGAATATTCCTCATCTGAAATAAATGATTACTACATGAATCAGAACAGGAAAGAGATAAGAATTAAAAATGAACATTTAGCTAGTTCTTACCTTCAAGGACAAAACTTGATCCTGCATTAGGGATATAAGAGGAGATATTACTATTCCAAGTCCTCCACAATAAACTGGGGGATACTGATAACAAAGACTTTTTCCATACCCTGTTGCCATCACTACGCAGTTATCTTTTTTATCCTATACGTAAATTTATAGTTATATAGAAGATATTTTAAATCAAAAAAACAATAAAATAAATAAAGAACTACTAAAACAAAACCTCAATTATAGATCTTATGATTTCCCATTGCATTGGCCTGAATTCCTTATGGCCAAAATACTTCTTGAGAGTGATTAAATGTTCTTCTGTAGGATGCATATTTTATCAAATTATATTGTTTTATCGCAAAAGTAATTTACCATTCTATTCTAGTCTCCAATAAGTTTACTTTCTGGTAGAATTCCAACCTTCTCCAAGAACCACTTACAATGACAGTAAAATGAACAGACCATGTCAATTAATCAATTTTTTGAAAATCGACAACTATAACCTAAATGGCGCTCATAATATAGGTAAACATTTTTAACCTCCTCGGTCTCGGTCTATTCAGCAGGTTGAAGCGAAACTATCGTTCTTTGTTTTCAGAACTAAATAAACAGAACTGAAACAAATCAACCAGCTTATTTCAAAGTAACTAATTTACAAAATGATTAGTTTTTATTTCTATGGCCAGCAGCGAAACAAAACAACTAGTGGCTTATAGTGGTAAAATTTTTGTCTCCCCCTCGCAAAAAAAAGTTTCATATAAATTCAAATAGTTAATATCTATTTGACTACTATTTGGCAACCATTAACTGAGTCCTTTAAAGCCCAACTTTAATGATCATTATTATTGAATCAATACTATTGAAGAAATATTCTTGAACATGGCATACATATTACAAATGTCAATATAATTGTCACAATATATCCCTCCACTTACTTATCCAGGATTTAATTTTGGGGGACTTCAGCCTGAAGAATTTTTTTTTCATATATATAACAATAATTACCTTGGAAGAAAAATAAAGAAACTAACTACCTGTGAAAATGTGTTTAGGTGATTTTTGAAGTATTATTAAATGTAATTACAGGAACAATAATACTTTTAGAGATAATTTTTTTTATAAGACATGGTTAAATTTTACCATTTGGAGAAGGAGGAGGCTTCAACCAGAAATAGATCCACCTGTGTATCCCTTGGTCAATATTTTCAATATTGACCTTGTAAGGACCTCTTAAGCATTGGTTAGAGCAAGAGACTCTATGAATGCATAAGAAGCTCGCTCCTCCTCCACTTTAACTGTTTAAAATTACTTTTAAGTTAAAAATTTCATTTATTTATATAATTGTTAAAGCCTACATATTTTTTTAAATCACTTAAATGGAAGAGGGCATACACTATTATTATTATTAACAGATCATTTCTTAAAACAAAAACTCATTAATATTTTCATCTATTTACCAAATTCAAATGATGTGAACCCATTTAGACGAATCCATAATTTATAAAATTAAACTAGTATTTTATTGAGTCATTATATACTTTTACAGGATACAAAATTATAGATATTAGATACTTATTCTAGTTATTATAAACTAGATCTTAAAATTGTATTAGATATATATATATATATATTTTAGAATATTGGGAATTGTTATATTGCAAACTGTTAAACTTATTTTTATTATGTGTTACCTTTTGCTAATCTATTAGTATTTTTTTATTCATTTTAGTATTTATGTATTTTAATTTGAGTAATTATTGTATATCTAACTATAACTTTATTGTGTCATACTATATTTATTGTCCTGATTGATCTTTTCCAAATAGTTGATTCAAAGCCATTTTTTTAAATAATTAAATTAATATAATTTTGTTGAACTGAAAAAGAAATTATAAAGTATGAAGTAACATTCTGAAAAGAAAAACAATAACACACAGAATACATAGTCTGAATGACAGTTATTTTTAGTTTGTAGAGTTTCTGAATGAAAATATAATTAGACAGAATGTCAACCGATTTTTGGTACTGGATCATTTTGAATACTAAGCACCCAGAGAAAAATTGGCTTGATAAAGTATATTCTATTTAGAATAAATTTTGGTATAAGAATTGGAGATTGTACCACTTATTTTATATTTTGGGTAAATAATAAAAATATGTATATTTAGGTCAATACCATTCCTATCTATATTATGGTTCATGTTGATAATCAACCAATTAAATAAATAAAAGTAAGAAAGAAATAATAAATTAGATATTTTTAATATGAAAAAATAATTATTTGATAATTAAAGTTCCTGATAAAATAAAAATATTCATTTCAATTTTATGTGTTTAATTAAAAACAGATTTTTCTACCAATTATTTTAATCTTCCTTGTCTAAAAATTAAATGAAATTCACTTTTGTGAGAAAAATATCACAACTATTTTACTGAAGAATATTTATTTTTCTGGAATGATTTTACTTCTTACAATTCCATTTAAAGATATCAATCTGATGGTGATAAAAATCATAAAATGATCTCCATTTCTGAATATAAAAATTTCTATACACAAGTCATAATTAAACTGAAATTCTGTACCTAAATATTTATATATATATATATATATATATATATATATATATATATATATATATATATAAAATATAAATATCAACCGCAGTTCTTCATGAACCTCTCTAAGTTTTGAGTTTTCTATAATACAACCACAATTAAGAGTAATGGTAAGGCTTAGGAAATATTAAAACTCCATAATCTTCAACAAACATAAATTTATTATGTTGAACAAACAATGTATACAACAGAAAACAATATGTACATAATCATTACAAAAAAAAAAGAAAACAAAACTGATTTTAAGCATTACAATTTATAATTAAAATAAATTGAAAACATTGCTGACAACATTTAACAAAACTAATAAAATTCACTAATAAATATACTCATATAGCTAATGATAAAGATTACAATAAAAATTTATCAATACCCCTTCTAAATTGAATGGAAAATTATAACCATCATCATGGATAACAAGAATCCCAGGTACATAATAACTGTGATCTATCAATACAAATTTTGAAAACTATGTTTATAGATAAATTTATTAAAAAATAGTTTTCATTTAACTATGATATAACAGTTTATATTTCAGTTCTTCAAATACAAAGGGCTATGCCCAAAGCATATTTTACGAGATACAAAACTAGAAAGTTTATACAAGACTAATTTCAATCATTATATGTATATAATCTGATACTATAATAATCTATCTTAATAAAATAAATACGTATTTACAGCACTTTGGTCTGAATGCCTTTTCAATTAAGCATCAAGAGGTAAATCAAGCAATTTTTTTTATTTGACTAAAGTATAAAAATATCACAGAGCATACTCTATGATAGCAAAGCTTTTATTTTTCTCTTACAAAATAAAATCACACAAATATTGCAGTAATAAAATAAAACCTTCCAATATGGTCTGAGATTGATTAAATTTCAAAATACTTATTTACAATCCACTTATGGAACAGAAAAAAATAAAACTACTAAAATAATGAGATCTCAACACTAAGTTCTAAAAACTAAACAAAATTAAAAATTCCCTCTGCTCAGAATAAATGGTTTGTACATAAGCAGACATGAATGCCTTGTCATATCCTTCCACGGAAATAGCTTAACATTTTTATTAATAATTAATCTATGCAGGTAAAAATTAACCTCAGCAATCAAAAAGTTAGAGCAATGTTAATGGTTTTATTCATATAAAAGAGAAAATATTAGAAAAAACTTCATACATTGCACGACACAAAATGGCAACATAGAACTTAGTTCCACAGGTCAATACTACTGAGTAGCAACATATCGAAAATAATTATCAGTGTTATCTCGAGTGAAAAATCACAAAAAAATATTTTTTTTTTTCATAAATACAAAATATTTACATATAAGAGAAGTAATAACAACTGATGTCTAAAAAAACATTATCTCATAACATTTAAAACCACTTAGCATTCCCAATAGAAGAGCTAAATTAATAACAAAATTATAATTTTTAAAGCCCTATAAATATTGATTTCCATAGCAGAGAACCTCATTTATTGAAAATTCAATGTTTACAGTAGCTTTATGATTTTAAAAAAATAATAAATTATTTATCTTGTTAAACCAGATAAAATAAAATATATAGATGTATACACTTATTTATATATTAAAATTCTTCGAATCAATTTTATAATGTTAAATATAATCACATTTACTTATTCCTAAAAATAAATCAAGTCATTGACAAACAATTGACAGCAAATATTTTCCAGTAATAATCCTTTGTACAATATGTTGATGATCGTGAGAACATTTTTTTTGGGAACCAATATAATTTATAATTAGTTATATTACACTATTTTTAACAGAATATTTATATACCATTGAATAAAACCTTTTAAAATAGGAAAATTATAAAATAGTCTACCTTTCAATAAAAAAAACAACATTTGTTACATAAAATATAAAAGATAACAATGTAAAACATTTTACCAATTGAAATTTATGTTTTATTTAATAAATATACTAAACCTCCAAAAAAATATTACTATTTAAAATTATTCAACTACAGGTAAAAGTAATCTAACTTTACACATGAGAACTTACAGAATGATATGTGCAAATAAATATTATTTTATAAAACAATAAATTTCAAAGAGATTTTTTCATATTATTTCTTTTGAACGCTGTTTCATAAGGCAACCTTTGGGTTAAAATGGCAGACATTATAAATTCTGCTCCATAAATACCAATATTAGCACGAATCACATCACTAACTAAATGAAAATCATTAGAAACAGTAATTATAATGTACAAATTCGAATCTAGTTCTTGTATTTGCTTCAGGGATTTTCGCTGTTTTTCGACAATCCCACCAGCACAAATAACCATCTCACTCAAAGCTGACCGAGAAGGAATAACACCAGGTGTGATATAGAATACTTTTCCAGCAAATAAACGAGACCTATCAGGATTAGACAAGATTTTCATGATATTACAATTATGTTTCTTTTCAAATTCTGGGTCATCTACCATATATGGTTGCTCATCTAAAAACTGACTACTATTGAAACTATCATTTAACCAATTAATATTAACTATATATCTACACACTGACAAAGCACACATAAACTTCAACGTTCTTTGTAATTTGTAAACAACTAAATGAGTCGCTTCTCTACAGTTTTTAGCTAAGACTCCGCCTAAATGCAATACTTTCTTTTCACCGTCTGATGGTGTAGTTGTAGGGCCAGAAAATGAAACTATGGCTTTTGGCATGCCAATAGGAGGCAAGGTGCTTTCGATAGGAAACATATTTTCTTGCTCAATACCTCCCATATTTGTTGGGCTTGCAACACGAGGTCTTTTCCTTTTGGGCCCGACTATACCACTTGCCTTGGCTCGATCATAACACTCTTGAGTAACCTGAATAGGAACCTTCCATGCTCCCATCAAATGAGGCACTAAAGTATAATCGATACGGAAAGGGTTACCAATGTTAAACTGCTGATATTTAGGATTTTCAGGATGTTGCAAACAGGAATAGTGTCCAAATAAAACTTCATTAAGCCATTGAACATTAACTACAGATCTTCCCCATTCTCTAGCTTTTTTATATTTTTCACCTTCAGGTCTTCTGCACACTAATATATTGTTATGGGAAGTATAATAACTTGTCATTTTTGCTCCAACTGCTTCTATCATTTTCTTCACTCTCGTTCTTTCTTCTCCTTCAAATCCAGAATGACTAATTATCAAATTTCTGCAAGGTTTTTCATCACTGAAAGGAGTTGGAAAGTGGAGGGCAAGCCAAGGGGGCAAAACTTGCTGTTTTATCATAATGTCACTCAACCATTCAGCAGTGACACATCTTTTGCCATCTCTAATGCCTTGTTGAACTAAAGGATGTTTCTGTGTCTGGCAAAGAATATGTGTAACTCTTAATGAGTATGTCAATTCTGTTTCTCCACCATTCTCCAAAATGATTCGTCTCCACATTGTGACATCGAAGCCAGATCTATCGTATTCCATAATTAAAAAAACACAACCAAGTAAGAACATATCTGAGGGTAGTTTTAGATTAGGACTATGACCATAAAACTGTGGCCTATGATGATGATTAGTCGGTGGTGTCCCAGAAGCACTTTTCTGTAAAACAGCTGCTACTCTCAATGCTGTTTGGGCAAATGCTGCAGGTTTAGTTATACCTGCAGAAGGCACTATTTCAGAAGGACGTAGTCCAATGTTATTATTTACATTTCCTAATGTAGTTCTTTGAAATGGTAACTGAGCAACTTGAGGTGGTGGAGGAGGTGGCAAAGGTGCCTGATGCTGAGCTGTCATC